AGCTGAAGTATTCATTGACAGGTAGGACATTGCAATGTATGATTTTATATACCATGCTTAAATCAGACCGAAGACGGCGTAATTCAAGGTTTTCTAGTTCTAGAATTTCAAGTCTGGTGGCATAAGGTATTCTACAACGAGTAGAGGAGTGGAGAACTCTTCTTGTGAAATATTTCTGGACTTTCTCAATTGTGCTAATATCAGATACGTAATGTGGGTTCTAGACTGATGAACTGTATTCGAGTATTGGTCTAGCAAATGTTTTGTATGCTCTAGTTAGTAGTGTGATATTACCAGAGAAAAAGCTACGTAGGATTAGGTTAACAACTCTTAATGCCTTTTTGGCTATGTAGTTGCAGTGGGCTCTAGAACTTAGATCATTAGAGGTGAGTATTCCAAGGTCCTTTACAGAGCTTGGGTCATCAACGAGATCTTGACTATTCAGCCTGTATTTTATTTTCTGATTTTTTTTGCCAATATGTAAGACAGAGCATTTATTTGTTGAGATTTGAAGTTGCCTTGTTCAGTTTCCATCCATTATTCCTTGTCTGGCCTACAGACGCTTTAGAAAATAGCTTGACCCCTTCCTCCCTGTGACAGCCCCTCAAATATTGGAAGACCGCTATCATGTCTCCCCTGGTCCTTCTTTTCATTAGACTAGCCAAGCCCAGTTCCTGCAACCATTCGTTGTATGTTTTAGCCTCCAGTCCCCTAATCATCCTGGTTGCTCTTCTCTGTATTTTTTCTAGAGTCTCAACATCTTTTTTATAATGTGGTGACCAAAACTGGATGCAGTACTCTAGGTGTGGTCTTACTGAGGCTTTATAGAGTGGTAGTAGTACTTCCCTTGATCTTGACTGTATCCCTCTGTTCATAGAACTTAGGATTGCATTAGCTTTTTTGGCGGCTGCTGCACACTGCTGGCTCATATTTAGCTGGTTGTCTATTTATTTTATTTTATTTATTTATTTATTTATTTATTTATTTATTTGATTTGCCAATTGTTTACAAGATAAGTATAAGTGTATACATAGTTGTGAATACATGAAATGGGTACATATAAGAAAAATAAAAGAATAAGAGAAACAATAGGACAGGGACGGTAGGCACGATGGTGCGCTTATGCACGCCCCCTACAGACCTCTTAGGAAAGGGGTGAGGTCAATAGTAGACAGTCTAAGGTTAAAGTTTTTGGGGTTTGGGGAAGAGACTATAGAGTCGGGTAGAGTATTCCAGACATTGACCACTCTATTGCTGAAGTCGTATTTCCTGCAATCAAGTTTGGTGCGGTTTACTTTGAGTTTGTATCTATTGTGTGCTCTTGTGTTGTTATGGTTGAAGCTGAAGTATTCATTGACAGGTAGGACATTGCAATGTATGATTTTATATACCATGCTTAAGTCAGACCGAAGACGGCGTAATTCAAGGTTTTCTAGTTTTAGAATTTCAAGTCTGGTGGCATAAGGTATTCTACAATGAGTAGAAGAGTGGAGAACTCTTCTTGTGAAATATTTCTGGACTTTCTCAATTGTGCTAATATCAGATACGTAATGAGGGTTCCAGACTGATGAACTGTATTCGAGTATTGGTCTAGCAAATGTTTTGTATGCTCTGGTTAGTAGTGTGATATTACCAGAGAAAAAACTTCGTAGGATTAGGTTAACAACTCTTAATGCCTTTTTGGCTATGTAGTTGCAGTGGGCTCTAGCACTTAGATCATTAGAGGTGAGTATTCCAAGGTCCTTTACAGAGCTTGGGTCATCAACGAGATCTTGACTATTCAGCCTGTATTTTATTTTCTGATTTTTTTTGCCAATATGTAAGACAGAGCATTTATTTGGTGAGATTTGAAGTTGCCATTTGTTTGACCATTCTAATACATAGTCAAGATCTTTTTGTAAGGTAGCAGTATTGTCTGTGGTATTGAACAGCTTTACATCATCAGCGAAGAGAACGCAATTGCTCTTAATATGATCACAGAGGTCGTTTATGTAGAGTATGAAGAGAGTTGGTCCTAGAACACTGCCCTGGGGAACACCACTATTGACAGGTACTAGATTTGACAGAACGCTCCCGATTTTGACCATTTGTTGTCTGTTTGACAGGAATGCTTCTATCCAGTTATTCAGTTGTCCAGAGATACCATAGGATTTTATTTTTAGGAGTAGTTTGTCGTGTACCACTGAATCAAAGGCTTTACAGAAGTCTATGTAGATTGCATCAATTGCTTTGCCCTGGTCGAGTTGTGTCGTCCATATGTTTTTGCAGTGTAAGAGTTGCAGATTACAGGATAGTTTTTTTCTGAAACCAAATTGTTTATTGGAGAGTAGGTTGTTTGACTCTAAGTGGAGGATGATGGATTGGTTAATAATTGATTCCATGACTTTACAGGTGACGCAGCATAAGGAGATTGGCCTGTAATTTTCAACTAGGCTTGGGCCTCCCTTTTTGAAGATGGGGATGACTGTGGCTTGTGACCATAGGTTAGGCAAGGAGCTGGTCCTGAAAGATTTTTCAAAGATTATGCTTAGAGGTTTGGCTATGGCAGTGGATAGCTTTCTTAAGAAGTAGGCACATATTCCATCCGGTCCAATAGATAGAGATGGTTTTAGATTGCGTAGTGATTTTTCGACATTGTCTTCTGTGAAATCGATATGTATTAGATCATTGTTGTTATCTGTGGTACGGCTAGGAAATACTGGGCATGATCCATTGCTGTTTACAAATACTGAGCCGAAGAATGTGTTAAAGATGTTGGCTTTAATGGTGTCGTCGTTGCAGTCTTTACCATCAGGTCCTATCAAGGGAGGGATGGACCTTGAGTCTAAGACTCCAAGATCCCTCTCACAGTTACTGCTATTGAGCCTGGTTTCACCCAGTCTATATGTGTAATTTTGGTTTTTTTTTTGCCTAAGTGTAGGACTTTACTTTTCTCTACATTGAATTTAATTTTGTTAGATACGGCTCAAGTGTTCTAATCTGTCAAGATCCACCTGGATCTTGAGCCTATCTTCTTGGGTGTTAGCTATTCCTGCCAGCTTAGTATCATCTGCAAATTTGGTAAGTACCCCTTCTACCAAATAGATTGGCTATGGTAATTCATGGTCTCCCAGCTGGCTCTGTGCCTCCATGGTCATTTGTTCCATGACTGCAGAAGACTCAAGATACTTTGCTTAAGTATATATCTATGTCTGAGACAGACAGGGACAGGAAATGGCAAAATCAACCTTACATAAACTGAATGCAGGTATTTTGGGAAGTTCATGTAAGCATAAATAAACCTGGCTAATTTCTGTTATTTTGACCACTAACTAGACTCAGAAACTAATGTAGACAGCTGGAAGATGAATGTACAGCTGGAATGTACTACATTTAATCACCACTTCTTCTTGATGCTGGAAATTAATGATTTTTCGAACTGTTTTTTTTTTTAAAGCCTCCATGATTTCCATCACCAAACAGAAATGACATTCTTAGCAAACAGTTTCCTAATTTGGGCTGGCTTTCGGGGTTGGGGTGAATAAACTCTGCACAAATGCAATGACCTTTGCTGTCACTTGAGAAATCACTAATTCTTGCCCTAAAACTACCAGACATTATAGTGAGGGCTTCAGCACTGCAATCCACATCACTGAGGTGTGTAGTTGAGGAAGGTAAGTGCTTTTGATTTTAGGTAGCTGTAGTTTCATCTCAAGGGACAGCTTTGGTTTCCTGAAACAACTTCCATTCATTCTGCCCTGTTGTCTCTTCTCCTGTTTCAAGTTTTACTTGACTATAGGAATCTTCAATTTGATAAAGAAAGTACTATTATATTAATCCTAACTACAGTCTGTTGTTCATTTGTTTCATTTATGTCAATAAGCTATGACAGCGGTTCTCAAACATTTTGGTCCAGACCTTTTTACAATCTTAAACATGACAGAGGATCCACAAAGCTTTGGTTTATGAGGGTGACATCTATCCCTGTATATTGTATTAGAAATTTTAAAATATTTATTTGTGGATCCTTGAAAGAGTTTTGCAGACCACCAACTCTAGTCTACACTTGGGGAACCATGAGATAGGAGAACAGATGAACCATGACGGATATTTTTACATACATGCAATACTTCTCCTCCAATTCTGGACTGAATAACAGAATGACAGAGTTGGAAGAGACCTCAAAGGTCTTCTAGTCCAACCGCCTGCTCAGGCAGGAAACCTTATACCATTTCAGACAAATGGTTATCCAATCTCTTCTTAAAAACTTCCAGCGTTGAAGCATTCACAACTTCTGATGGCAAGTTGCTCCATTGATTCATTGTTCTCACTGTCAGGAAATTTCTTCTTAGTTCTAGGTTGCTTCTCTCCTTGATTAGTTTCCACCCATTGCTTGTTGTCCTGCCCTCAGGTGCTTTGGAGAATGACTTGACTCCCTCTTCTTTGTGTCAGCCCCTCAAATATTGAAACACTGCTATCATGTCACCCCGAGTTTTTCTTTTCATTAAAGACTGAGCGCTGCTTCCTCCTCCTCCTCACGAAATTCCGCAACTACAACACCTCGTCAGCGGGAGTGGAGATGCCGCGCTACAAAAAACAAGGCACTTTATGACGACCGAGAGATCCCCGCTGTCGCTTCTTGGTGCCTCCCGCCGCTGGGCGACACTTTCCCCCTCCCGCCCTTTCAGCTGACGGGGCCGATCTCTTCCAGTTGCCCGCAGGAGCTTAATACGCCCAGAAACCGCGGCCCCTCAGCTGTTGTGGCAACGGTTGCCTCGTAATGGCGGCGGCGGGGGCGGCAGTTCCCGGCCTCTTCTCGCTGCTGGTCCTGATCCCATAACTTGAAAGCCCCGCCCAGCGCGAAAGGGGAGATTCGCACCCGCCTCTTTGGACTTGGCGGGCTTTCCGTGGTCCCCATGGAAGCCGACGCGCCAGTTCAAGTCCTTTCAAGGGAGGTGGGAATGAAAGAAAAGAAAAAAGAAAAAAAAGGGAGGGGAATTGGATGCCTTGCTTCCAAATGACAGGAGTGGATAAATGCCGTTACCTCCTACCGGGCCCCGTCTCACTTCCGGGTCTGTGGCAAGGCAACTTCCTTTTAGCATAAGAAGGAACTGCTGGGGAAGGTGAAGCGGGGCTGCGGCCAGTTTTGCTGGGTTTCGCTGGAATGATGTAATCAGCCTGGTAACGGTTAAAGGAGGGCGGATACCCGAGCTCTGGTGGGGTGGGGAATAAGGGAATCTGCCCCGGGGAGCGGGACGGTGGAGAAAATCCTCAGGGGGACTCGGTTCTGTTCCGAGCTCCCTAATGAAAGGGATCTATTATCAGCATCTGGGATCAGGCACATTAGGAAGGGGGGGGGGGGGAGAATACATACTCATATTTTTTTCAGTACTCAGGTATTGTTGATTAGGCCATTTCTACAGTATTTGGCTTTGTATACTGAGGTGGTAGCTCAAACCAGATTAGAAAAAAAAAAGGCATCTGGCTCCTTAAAAAAAACAACCCAATAATCTACCAGAAGGCAGATTATTGAAATCTTGGCAATGCAAAAACAAAAACAAAACCTTGTCTTTTTAAAGTACTATTCTGCGGTTTTGTTAAAGTTTTCTTTATGGCTTGTAGAGAGGATTAGTATCCAGAATAAATGCTTAGGTAGGTGGATGCTTTGTGGCAAAAACTAGGTCACAAATCAAAATTATGAAATCAAACCCGAGCTTTACAGGCAGCAAGGGATAGTATCTGAAATTCTTTATTTTTCATACATATGCTATTGCTTGATAAATAGATTTACTGTAAAATCAGCCAATTAACAAAAGCTACCAGTTCAGTTTTTATTTTAACAATAAGGCAATTAGGCTGCACAAATGCTGTAGAATGTAACCAAGTTTCATAATACTTGTTATACTTTTTCCTCTTTTCTATGTTTTTATAGAAAATGATTATAGACCTATGGAGATATTTCTATACAAATATCTTTCGATTTTGGCTAAAGTGGATTGTAAGACTGGTAACTGGAAAATGTGAACTGCAGCGTATTTGCAATGGCACAAGGAAAAATGCAAAAAGAACGCTACAAATCGGTAATAAATAAGTATATACATTATTATGACAATCTTTTATATTAGCCAGTGACAGGCCAAAAGATGATCTGAAAACCAATGTAATTTTTATAACTTTGAAATTCCTTCAGTAGCATTTAAATAGCATTTTGGTAATATTTGTAATAGCAAGCAGTATTTGGTTATACTTGGTACAGAACTATTGGGTCTTTTTTCCATAAAGGTTGGAACAGTTATAGTTGGATTATTTATATATTTATTTACATTTCTAAACTGCCCATTTCCCTCAGAGGGGCTACACACACTCAGCTAAGGCTATTTCGAGCAAGGTTTATCCCTCTATGCTTTTTTTCCTTAGACTCTTTTCTCCTAGCTTTTATCTCTTCTTAGTTTTCTAAATTTAGAACTATTATCCCCATTTCTCATTTTGTTTAATTTGAGCTACTTCTTTTTAAGTCCTACCTTCTTCTGCTTTTCATAGGCCTATATTAGTGCTTTCGTTGTTTTCCTAAGGCTTCCACTTCTCATCTTTTATATCAGCTCTATTGATGATAACCTAACTTATTATCATATCATGCTAAAACAGTCTAGACTGGTAACTGGTACAAAGACTCATGTAATGAGTAAAGGTGACTCACACTACAATAAATTGTTGTTACAATTTATTTTGATATTATGCAAACTGATCACTGCTAGTTGCTTTCAGAACAAACCACATTTTATGTTCAAAAGACATAATAAACAATAAGCAAACCTGTAGTTTGCTTATCATGCTTCCTGAGTATTCATAACATGTTTTTTGCTGAGTTATAAAAATATTTACAAGACTAGTACCAGAATAATGTTCACTAATTTATTGTTTGTAAACATAAGAAATGATATTTGGGATTTTGTGAATAGTTTTAATAAATATAACACTTATCATTGCAGAGTATTCATTGGAATCATCGAAGCATAAGGTAGGATATATACTGTGTTACAAAGTGCTTTTTTGCCCTCTTTTTCTTATGAGAAAACAGCTATCAAAGTTAGTTTTTAACTTCATTTCAAAATCAGATTCCAACATATGTAATGTCTAAAATACTGCTTTAGCAATGGAATACATCCTCTTCCTTCAAAACATTGCATTTTGTAATATTTATTCAATTGAGAAATAGAGTCAGAGGTTTTGCCATGTTGTTGCAAAAGAAACATGCTTGACAGGATCCCAAACTACGACTCTGGACCAAAGGTTTTTCTGCAATATAATAAAGTGTCCCTTTCTAATCTCAAATCACTACTTTCTATACTTGTAAGTAGCAAAACACCCAATAGATTTATTTATTTATTTTTGTCAATTGCTTACAAGATAATAGGTATAAGTAAAAACATAGTTATGAATACATGGATACATATAAGAAAAAATAAAAGAAACAATAGGACAGGGACGGTAGGCACATTGGTGCGCTTATGCATGCCCCCTACAGACTTCTTAGGAAAGGGGTGAGGTCAATAGTAGTCTAAGGTTAAAGTTTTTGGGGTTTGGGGAAGAAACCACAGAGTCAGGTAGAGTATTCCAGACATTGACCACTCTGTTGCTGAAGTCATATTTCCTGCAATCAAGTTTGGTGCGATTAACCTTACATTTGTATCTATTGTTTGCTCTTGTGTTGTTATGGTTGAAGCTGAAGTATTCATTGACAGATAGGACATTGCAATGTATGATTTTATATACTATACTTAGATCGGACTGAAGATGGCGTAATTCAAGGTTTTCTAGGTCTAGAATTTCGAGTCTGGTGGCATAAGGTATTCTGCAACGAGTAGTGGAGTGGAGAACTCTTCTTGTGAAATATTTCTGGACTTTCTCAACTGTGTTAATATCAGATACGTAATGTGGGTTCCAGACTGATGAGCTGTACTCGAGTATTGGTCTAGCAAATGTTTTGTATGCTCTAGTTATTACTGTGATATTACCAGAGAAAAAGCTACGTAAGATTAGGTTAACAACTCTTAACGCCTTTTTGGCTATGTAGTTACAGTGGGCTCTAGTACTTAGGTCATTAGAGATGAGTACTCCAAGATCCTTGGCAGAGTTTGGATCATCAACAAGGTCTTGACTATTCAGCCTGTATTTTATTTTCTGATTTTTTTTTGCCAATATGTAGGACAGAGCATTTATTTGTTGAGATTTGAAGTTGCCATTTGTTTGACCATTCTAATACATAGTCAAGGTCTTTTTTAAGGGTAGCAGTATTGTTTGTGGTGTTGAATAGCTTTACATCATCAGCGAAGAGAACACAGTTGCTCTTGATATGATCACAGAGGTCATTTATGTAGAGTATGAAAAGAGTTGGTCCTAGAACACTGCCTTGGGGGACACCACTGTTGACAGGTACAAAATTTGATAGGACGCTCCCAATTTTGACCATTTGTTGTCTGTTTGACAGGAATGCTTCTATCCAGTTATGTAGGTGTCCAGAGATACCATAAGATTTTAGTTTTAGGAGTAGTTTGTCGTGTACCACTGAATCAAAGGCTTTACAGAAGTCTATGTACATTACATCTATTGCTTTGCCCTGATCAAGTTGTGTAGTCCGTATATTTTTGCAGTGTAAGAGTTGCAAATTACATGATAGTTTTTTCCTCTAACCAAATTGTTTATTAGAGAGTAGGTTGTTTGTTTCTAAGTGGAGGATGATGGATTGGTTAATAATTGATTCCATGACTTTACAGGTGACGCAGCATAAAGAGATTGGTCTGTAATTTTCAACTAGGCTGGGATCTCCCTTTTTGAAGATGGGGATGACTGTGGCTTGTGACCATAGTTTTGGCAAGGAGCTGGTCCTGAGAGATTTTTCAAAGATTATGCTTAGAGGTTTTTAAGAAGATTTTTTTAAGCATATATTCCATCCGGTCCAATAGATAGAGATGGTTTTAGATTGCGTAGTGCTTTTTCAACATTTTCTTCTGTAAAATCGATATGTATTAAATCATTGTAGTTGTCTGTGGTTTGACTAGGAAATACTGGGCATGATTCATTGCTGTTTACAAATACTGAACCAAAGAATGTGTTAAAGAGATTGGCTTTAATGGTGTCGTCGTTGCAGTCTTTACCATCAGTTCCTTACAGGGGTGGGATGGACCTTGAGTCTTTTAGTTTGTTGTATACAAAATTGTAGAAAACGCGGGTGGAATTGGCGCGTAGAAGGTTTTTTTCTTGTTTAATGTGATAATTGGTGCATTCAGTTTTTATCTGGTGGCATAAATTTTTGTATCGGCTTTTGAAGTTGGCAACGTGACCAGATTTGATTTTCCGCCAAAGTGTTGGCTAACCTTGACTATTAGTTTAGAAAAAGAGCATTGTCAAATTCAGCTGTAGTGATTATGAATATTTTAGTTATAAAACTTTCAAGGAGTTCTGCAGCTGAAATTAAAAAACATGCTTGCCAAGTTCAGTTTCTTCTTCAGTGTGGTTATTTCAAGATTCTCAGTAATATTTTTTTCTTGAATATTTTTCTTGTTAGTAGAATTGTGCACTGCATTTTGTTTTGTCAAAAGAAAAAAAAAAACAGTCCAGCAGGGGTTTAAAATAAATAGGCATTTAGCTAACCAGTCAAGTTTTAAAAATAAAAAGCAAAATAACAGAGGATTCAAAAGGTGAAGTTAAAACCCAAGCATGCTTAAGAAAATGAACTGCCAAGAGGAAGATATATATGCCCAGTGGTTTTCCAACTGCTCCCAAGGAGAACTGGAATCTTCAAGACTCCCCTTATAAGGAGGGTCCCCATCCATCCAAAAGCCACCTTAGGTCATTCTTAAGTGCTCCCATTCAAATCCAGGAAGCAGCCCTGCCAAAGAATCAGCTTTGGCAGTAAAATCGGCAGATTGTCATAGGAAAAAGAAAAGTTCCTACTGTTGAGGAGCCACCTTGAAAAGGAGTCCGCCCTTAGGTAGATTTTAATAAAAGTTGAACACTTGCTTCAAACTAAAAGATGGCAGTACTATTTGAAATCTGCTTTTATTTGGAGTGTTTGTTTTATACACAAACACACATTTATAAATTATATATTATAATTGAACCAGTACTTAAAATTCATGATCATCATAATCTACGGAAACCCTAACTGATGATATTCAGATATTTTCTGAGACTTTAAATATTACTTATCAATATTATATATTGTTGTTTAATTTTAATTTAAGTTTAATTTTCTACTTTTTTTAGTCCTTGCAAAATGCTTTGAATTCTACTGAAGATGAAGTGGAAAAATGTGTTGCGTGCATAATAGAAGAAAAGAAGATTAAAGTACAGAAAGATACAGGGTATGTCTATTACAGCCTCTGCTACCATCTCAAGAAAATCTTGTCTGTTTTGATAGATATTTGGTAAAGCAAAGAAGTAAGTTCATATTTAAATTTACTGTATGATGCATAATACTGTAATGGATAAGACAAATGATTAAGCTTTTGGAAATATATTAATATTGGCATAAATATAGAGAATTAACTGAAAGTGATTTCACTGAAACTAATAGATTAGATATTCTAAGTGGAATATAATATCCTTATTAATGGTAATTATTATGAAACATTGTGGTATAACTGAAGAAGTGAGTATGTATTATATATTATTTATTATTATACTATGTCAAAACTAGATAGGATATCTTGGTATATCATGTTTCTCTACAGCCACTTGTTTGTGACTGTTAAAAAAGACTTCAAATTATTCCAAATTTTGATCATCCAAGATATTTGAAAAGCAGAGAATACAAGATTAAGTAATGGACGTGGTATAGTTTAGTGGTATAATATATTTTTCTATCCAGTGGTTGCTTGATAACTGTGCTTTTACTTTTTACCAAATTAGCAGATGTAGTGTGAAACTATATTTGACATATAACATGTTGGTGTTGCGTTTTAGTATGTTACTTTTTCTCTTACTGCCCCCCCAGTGGATAGGTGCACTACATGTAGGAGCTGTGGTCCAAATCAAACTAGACATATGTGCATAAAGAGAGAACAAAACAATCGGGGGAAAGTTACATTTTTTAATACCACACTGTAATTATGTGAAACTTTGACTCAATAATATGGTAGGTCAGAACTGGAATACCCATTAGCTATGCTAATGCCTGGCATAGCTCTCATATTGGCAAATTGGACACCGTGTTTTCCTGAAAATAAGCCCTACCCAAAAAATTAGCTCTAGCCTGATTTTAGGGTACTCCTAATATAAGACCTACCCCAAAGATAAGCCCTAGTGGTTGTGGCCAGAATAGGAGGTGGCAAACAGTGTCTTGCAGCAATCGCAGCCCACGCAGCACAGGTGAATTGATCACCAGTCCAAGCAGCAGGCAGAGATGGAGGCGGGGTATGCATGCGATCTGGATGTGGTTGAGCTGCTGCGGGAGGATTGTCTTCACATTTCTTGACTTGCTGGTGGCCCACACAGTGCATTGGGATTGCCTGTCTTCTGCCCTGCCCCTTTGCCTCCATCTGCCTCCATCTTTGCCTCCATCTGCTGCTGGTGCATATGAAGACAAGCCTCCCATGGCTGCCCTGTCTCTTTGGCCCACCAACTCTCGGCTTTCCTGTGTGGCGCATCAAGATCACCTGCCTCCCCCACCACCCCTGTGCTTCCATCTGCTGCTTGGACAGGAAATCAACTCAACTGCGGTGTGTGAGCAGTGCAGCATAGCCCTAGAGTGCACGAACTAAGGGACTGGCAGGCTGCAACTGCTGCCAGATATTTTCAGTTCCCATCCGCTTGCCCCCTGGTGTGTGTGCGCTGGGGGTGGGGCGCCTAGCTAGGCTGATCACTCTGATACCATTTTTTCCCTGAAGATAAGCCCTAATGCTTATTTTGGAGACCCAAAATCTTATGCGTCTTATTTTCAGGGAAACACAGTATTTATAAAATCAAAGTTATATATTTCACTTCTGACATAGAATATTTGGTTTTGTTAGTTCTATTTGTTTTGCAGTTGAACATTGTTTCACATTGCATCACGTGTTACTTAGACTTCTCTGAATTTTCAATTTATTGTAGATTTGCTTCAAAGCTGCAGTCATCTTTGCTCCAAATATCAGGTTACAAAAAGCTCTGTTTGGCAGTGGAAGATCTCAAAAAACAAGTATATAATTCAGACAATAAAGAACATGAAGAGCAATTAATGGAGGTGAACATTTTAGTACTTCTGTATTATATAATTAAGCAATTTAAATTTGTAACATACATATCATAGAATAAATTATACATAAGGTTTACTGTAAATCTCAACATTTCTTGTCAGTAATGACAGCATAGAAGGAATTAATAAAGAGCGGGAAGATATATGGGTATAGTATATTCTAGGGTTATTAACATACAGTATCATTTAATAAAATTGATTTACCAACTTGTATAAAACAAATCAAGAGTAAACTTAATTAGATATTGGAGTACGTAACACAAGCCTGATGATGGCAGATGAGATTCTGCCGGAGTGTCGCTACAACTTTAAAAGCACAACTATAATGACGTGAGAAAATACCACACATATAAAAAAGCTGAATACCATAACCGCAAAAACTTAAGAATAAATATATATATATTAATTCTAGTGTAAGGACATTTTTAAATATCAACTAATTCAAGAGAAGGCAACTTCTCACAATGAAGTCAGTGAGTGTAATGGAATGTATGAATGACTTTGGGGAAACCGATGAGAAGCTGCCTAGGGAATGATTAAACAGGAAAGGGAGAAGCCTGCAGAGAATGAAACTTAAGAAGGATCCACTCTAATGGGTTAAACAGATAAAAGTGAAGCTTGTTTCTTCAGATTTGCAAAATTCTGTTAATGTAACTTTACAGTCCTGTAGAATTAGTTCGTCTTGCTTGTTTCCTATCTGATTTACTTGGGATGGATAACAACGGAAAGCTGGCAGGAAGTTGCAAGTCCCAGGTGGTATTATAACATTTTATGTTTGTGAACATTTGTGAACAAAAAAATACATGAGTGGAAGTTTTTCAAAGCAGGAGCAAAATATATGTTTGATAAAACATTATCTTTACTACAGATAGTCCTTGATTTACCACAGTTGGAACTAAGCAATGTGGTCATAAAGGAAGATATCATGTGACCACATCACTTAGTATCCATAATCCCAGCAAACTCCATTGCATTATTAAATAAATTTTGCCAGTTGTTAACCGAGGACCCACCCCAGTTAAAGCAGTTCTGGGCTTAGTCCCTTCTAATCCTGAGCCTCAGTAAGATAAGGGACTGTCTCAACTCATCTATTCCCTCTTCCCCATCTTGGTCCCAGGACAGCAAGTAGCCCCAGATCTTGGCTGCTTACCACATCCCAGAAATCTGCACCTGCCCCAGCCTAGGCCAGTTGCAATTGCCCTCGTCACCTACACTCTGAGACCTCTGCCACCCCGTGTTTCACACAGCAGCTGACACTTGTGACTGTTTTCTTATTCCCACTGCCGACAAGGTGTGCCTCTCCTGGCTGGCTGGCTATATGGGCCTGACTGCATAGTGAAAAAGGGCAGGCACACGTACATGCACACAAACCGTGTAAAGAGGCCAGACTGACACCAAATGGCCCCTTTGCATCACATTCCTAGGAAATAAGGGGCTGGTTTTGTGCTCAAAGGGATCATACCATTACAAATATCCTTTGTCCCAGACCTTGGGTGATGTAAGAAGCGGTTTTGCCCAATGTGAAACCCCTCGCGATTTTCTCAGCTTCCCCTTCACGTACCTCCGTGAGCTCACCTCATCCTCCACTCTTTCCCATTGGGTGAAACAACTTTCTGTTTTGCAAGAATGGCAGGCTGGGTGTGCCTTGTCCAGTGGGAGGAATATGTTACAATGAATAATTGTACAGTACAAGCAGCACTAACAGGATCCAATTACTGAGGTAAAAAGCTTTTTATATTCCAGCCAGTTCTGATAAATTTACACTTAAAAAAGAAAAATAAGTCAAATTAAAATACAAGAAACCTGATGCTACTTAGCAAGTACAAGAATATTACAAAGTCCTGGTTGGTACCACAAAGCCCCTGGTGTGTGTCCATCAGTTGCCAGTGTTGTCACAAGACGGATAATGTATAAATTAGTTAAGTAAATAAATAAATATGTGAGCCACGTTTTCTGATGAATGAGTAAATGGTACATCAGGAACTCTTGATTTGTAGGTATGGCAGGCTACTACCAGTACCATAAGTAGACCTTGTGATAATGTTTCTATGATTGTTTTGTGTACGTGTGTGTGTACTTAAGTGATATGATTTTGCTTTTTAAAGTAGATATTGCATCAATTTATTTCATACGAGTTTACTTAAAATGATCTTAGAAATATAATTAATAGAAGCATATTTGTGCAGCTCTGGAATTTGTTAATGCCCCATGAAAAACTGAAGGCCAGAATAACAAAGCAGTGGTGTGATATTGGTTTCCAAGGTGATGACCCTAAAACAGACTTCAGAGGAATGGGAATGCTAGGATTAACTAATCTTCTGTAAGTATAAAGCATATAAATATACTTTTCCATGATTTAAAGTTAATGTTTTATAGATTATGAACAGCTTGCCCTCGGAAGTTGTGGGAGCGTCATCACTTGAGACTTTCAAGAAGAAATTGGACTGCCATTTGTCAGAAATGGTATAGGGTCTCCAGCTTGGGCGGGGTGGGGTTGGACTAGATGACCTACAAGATCCCTTCCAACTCTGATTATCTGTTAAATCTGCTAGATTATATTGGCTATGTATTTACTGCTGCTAATGGAAGATATGTTATTGACTATTTGTTGTTCAAATCAGATATGCTAATTTGTCTTCAAGGTAATGCAAATGTTAACATTTTAACTCAGTTTAATACACGGTAGAGCAATTAATTGCAGTGCAATGACTATGAACAATATTTTGTGTCTCTTTCAGATATTTTAGTAAACATTATCCTCATGAAGCTCGTCAAATCCTTATTCGTTCAAATCATCCAAAACTTGGGTAAGTGGCATCTTAGTTACTTATTTTTTTAAAGATGAAGGAAAACCACCCCTGCATGTAATAATTATTTATTTGTCAAGCATTAATTTCAAGACACAGTTATCATCTGTATTAAAAGATGTGCGTGTTTGTGTGTATTTGTAAAAGTAAGTCAGTAATTTGTACAGTAAAAATGGTTTTCTTTTGATATGCTTTAACAAAGGTGTGTTGTTCATGGCCATGTGCCCTACTCAGCACCCTGTCCACTGCATTCTGCTCCATCTTGAACTTTCAAACTAGATAAAGGATGGGCCCCACTTAGGCTGCATTGCAGTATTCTAAATGTAAAGTGCTTGAACCACTATAGAGAGACTGTTTCTGCCAGGAAAGGAGATACAGGTAATCCTCAAGTTTTTATAATAGAGTAGGAAATTTCCCAATTTTATGATATTTTTGCAGTGGTTGCTAAACAAATGTCACGGTCATTTAGCAAAACTGTGATTGTTAAGTGAATGCCATAGTTGTTAAGGGAAAGCCACGGGGTCATTAAGCCAACCTGTTTTCTCCCATGGTTATTTTTTGCTGAAAACTGGAAGTAAACAACTGAAACTGTTTAAAAAAAAATCCAGTGAAAATTGTGGTCACAGCGAGAAGTCAATGCTGGTTGCCAAGTACTCAAAATGCAATCATGTGACTATGTGTGGGGAAATGTCAGAACTTCAAAAACCAGTTGTAATTAGAGGGAAGGGCTGACCTAACTTCGAATGGTCACTAAGCAACCAATCATTAAGCAAGGACTAATTAATAGATTGAGCAAAGTTAGCAATAGGAAGCCCTAACATGGAGATCACTTAGATTGTTGATGACAAGGATGATTCTAGGAACATCCCCAGATAATTTACAAAGGTGATTGAGATGGTTTCATTCTATTAAGAAGACATTTATTTAGTTATTTGTTTGTGTATTTATTTTAGATACTCTTACGCAATCGTTGGAATCAATTTGACAGAGATGGCTTACAGTTTGTTAACAAAAGGACTTTTAAAAAGCCACTTTTACAACTTGGTTCCTGGTGCTCCTCAGCTAAATGATTTCCATCAGTTTTACTGTGAGTATTTGCAAGTATCCTTTTCAGAGATGACTGGCTTTTATATTTTGGGGGGATGCTGTTCTACAATCTACTTAGAAATTAGTAGTTTTTATTGTCATATTAAGTACCATTCAGTTCAAATTGTTAAATAAATATTTGGAAAAAGTGTAACACTTTTGTTGCAACATTTATTGCAAAGTAAGTCAGATTTCTACCTTGATACAACAGGATGATTCTCATCTATCCACCTGGTTTAAAACCCCAAACAAGAAATAATAATAAAGACAAGGAACAACATTAAAAAATAATGAAAAAAACTTGGTATCATATACAAGCTAGGTGAATACCTTCCAAAGTAGTTCAGTCTTCAACATTTTATTAAAAACCAGCAAGATTGACCTTTGTCGGGAAACTCTTTCAAACCACTGATGTAGCTCAGTACCCTGTAGCATAAGTGTCAGCCCCCTTTGCACTGAAGGTTGAAGTGAAAATACAAATAGGTAATCCTCAACTTCCTACTGCAATTGGGGACAGAACCTCCACTGCTAAGGAAGGCAGTTGCTAAATAAATCCTTCCCAAGTTTATAACCTTTTTTGCCATAGTTATTAAGTGAATTACTGCAGTTGTTAAGTGAATCATGAGGTCATGAAGTAAATCCACTCCCCCCCTTGTCTTTGATTGTTGAAAACTGGCTGGGAAGGTCACAAATAGTGATCACATGACCTTGGAATGCTGCAACCACCATAAATGCATGCTGGTTGCCAAGCATCCAAATTTTGATCTTGTGACCACGCGGATGCTACGATGGACATAAGTGTGAGGACCGTTGTAAGTCACTTTTCAATACCATTATAACTTTAAATGGTCACTAAACAAATGGGTATAAGTTGAGGACTTCCTATATGCGTTTCACAAGAGGAGGAAAATGTTCTTTAAAATTCATGGTAACTAAATTTTGACTGTATCAAAAAAATTTTTCAGTTCTAAGCATTGCATTTGGAGAAGGCAACGGAACTATAAACAATTCATTTATGCAAAACTATAGTATGCCACATCTATAGCATTGTGTACAGTACTATTTACTACATCTGAAAAGTGGTATTATAAAACTGGAAAGAGTGTAGAAGCAACTAATCAAAATATCTTCCATTAAAAAAGGCAGGAATATTTAGGACTCTTTAGCTTGGAGGAGGAGGAGTAACCAGGGAGAAAACGATCACGAGTGTATGACATAGTGAAAGTGAACAACTTTATCTCCAATAATTGGATGGGTATAATCCAATGATTTTCTGATTTTGAACAGGCAAAGTACAACATTTCTTCACCCCACACAGAAGTAATTTGTGGAATTAATGATCACAGGCTGTGTTGGTAATATGGATAGCTTTAAAAAAAATTAGATAAATGAATACAAGACAGTTCTATCAAGGACAGTTGATCCCGAGCCTCAATTCTTTCCAGGTTTGTGACAGGCCTCAATTTGATTCAGCAAAACTATTCTTATGTACTTAAGTAACTAGTTTTAATAATGGACAAAATATGTTACTTATTTCTAATATTATATTCTCACAAGTATTTTATTTTTTTTGTTTTGTTTTCACAGGTTATTTGTCTTACGAATTTGACAATTTTTGGTTTGAAGAGAAACCGGAGAGTATTATGTACTTCAACCAGTATAGAGAAAAGTTTCATGACAAAATCAAAAGACAACTCCTGGATTATGATGTGGTCCTTGCCTTAAAAACTGAAAACTAGAAATGTGTGATTCGTTGAGTTCTGTACATAAATATTATGCACTTGATCGAAACTCTGGTATTCAACCAAAAACTCCATTTATTGCTCAAAGGTTTATACATCCATTATTATTTTTATAGAAAATATGCTTGGACAATCAATTCTTATTTAAGACTGACTATTACACTCTAAAGATATTTTTTTTAATATAAAGATCCTCACTGGATCATAGGACCTCACATTTTTTCTACACTTAGTAGAAGGTGTAAAATAATTGCTGAACTTTATCATGTTGCTCAATAATAGCTTCATATTCAAATTTGATTGATGTTTGATTTACAGAAAAAGATGTAATGATAGTTCATTAATGGAAAATTTGTTCTGGCTTTTTTATACTGTATATCTTGTTCTTTTCAAATATGGAAGCTGTAGTGCTCTATTATGATTTGAAAAAGAATATCCATCAATGAGTAGTATGTTACTTGAATGAATGAAAGCTGTCTTTATTGTCCTTAGTCGTATTATCTGTTTTATCTCCCTTTGGATGTATATAGGTAGAAACTAGCAGGTTAACCTTTCATTTTAAAATAAATTTTATACACTGCCATAAAAAATAAAACGAAATAAATTTTGCCTGTATTGTACTACAGTTGCTATCAAATATCAATCTCTGTCCTCCCTCCCTCAGTTTTTTCGGTTAACAACACTTAGGAGGCATATAAATTAAAAATTATTAAAAATTAAAGTATTTAATAGAAAATAATTAATACATTCTTTTTTCAATACTCCTGTATCACTTATTGAGGACTACATATTGGATATAATTCTCAGACAATCTAGATAATAGAATTGTACTCATGTTGAAAATCTATAAAGACCTTTTTAATTTTCCTGTAAATTTTGTATTTAGCCTTGTTGACATTTGAGAGATGGACAGAATGATCAAGATTGTTAAAGTGCCTTTTAGTTACAGCATTTGAGTATCATCCCTGGAGCTGGGATTTGCTGATTTCTAGATAGCTTCTAGGATGTGCCTATTGTAACATTTAATACTGGAATTGGGCATATTTAATCTTGCTGACTAGGATAAAAAAGTATGTGCAAATTATATCACCAATCCAGAAAAAAATGTATAAAAGTATTTGAAGAATATTTTAAGAAAATACAATTGTGTATGAAAACTTGGGAAAAATTTATTATGGATTGGGCTCTGACAAAGAAATAGAGGATTTATTTTAGTGTTTACAGTTATCTTGCAAATACTCATTTTATCTCAAAAATTGCTGAAAGAAAACATTAGATACTATGTAATATGCATGCTGGACATTAAAAAAAATACTCTGCACTGTCCTACTGAGCTCTCATTTTATATACATAGTTCTGCTTTATTATAAATCAGGGATTCCTGTTGTGAAATAGAATTTAAAAACTCATGGTTGTATGAGAATACTTATTGTTCATAGCATATGATGGGAGGGAATGCATTATTGATTGAAATGTTTTTTAAACGATAATTTTTCACAATATAAACATTAGGTTTGTTGTAAAATGCATCAAAACATTGGAATCCAAAAGTTCTAAGTCAATTTACCCAAAATTTCAGATTTCAGTATATCTTGCTGGTAATTTGCAATAAATTAGCACTAATGCTATCCTAATTATTTTATTAGCCTGTTTTTGATTGGAATTATAGTATAGTTGTGGGTTACACATGCTGTCTCTATAAGAGCCTTCACAAGCTTATTTACTGGTTATTTAACAGTTTTATGGGCTTATCTTTTTCCAGTGGTTAAAAGCCATCAACTTCCTTAGGCTAGTAATAGTGAGGGGGATTCAATATTATATCTTTAATATTTAGGGGAAAGTATCACATTTTTAGGCTAGATTTTATAAAATACCAAATGCTGAAATGGCCACTGTGGTCTCCCAAATAGTTTATTTTTACATATAGGCATTCAGAATTTGGCTGTCTCATAGTCACTATCAATTCAGGGAAAAAAGAATAGTTTGTCCCTGATCTTTTGCAATTTTTGGGCAACTGCAGAAGCATTGCTATAGTTTAACTATATGAATTAGTTCCCATTTTTGTGTGAAGGCTGCAACCTGTTACAGGTATTGTCTTACAACCACAATTGGGACTGTAACTTTCATTGCTAATGACGCAATTGTTAAATGGGCCTAATTTTATTACTTTTTTACTGCAGTCATTAAGCAAATCATACGGTCATTAAGCAAATCCAGCTTCTCATTGACCATGCTTGTTGGAAGCCACAGCAATTATGCGTCTGTGGACACTGCAACTATCATAAATACATGCCGATTTACATGCTGATTGCCAAGTGCCCAAATTATCATCACATGACCGTGGGGTTATAAGTGCAAGGATTGATTGTAAGTCACTTTTTATAGTGCAGTGGTAACTTTGAATGGTCCTTAAATAATTATAAGTTGAGGACTACCTGTATGTTGGAACACCATCCTTAAAAAATGGAGACTTTAGAACAATATTTTTCTCCCTTTGTAAGCATGGGTTATATATAGAATTTTGAAAGCATGTGGTAGCTGTTTTCAGAAAATAGGTGAATATGCTTTATGAATGTTTGAAGGAAAAACCTCAAAATTGGGACTTTCTTTGTGAGTGCTTGGAAACTTTCATATTCACTTCTTAAGATCCTCATATTAATGAATAATGTTTAATAAAATATAAAGAGAACATTAAAATAGTTGAAGCAGAATCCAGTGTTTAATCTATCATTAGGTTCATGATACAAAAAAGTGCTTATATTAAATGGAAAAAATGTAATATTAAGTAAAAATTTTAAAAAGGTACAAACTTATACCTGGTTTCATTTAGCGTGATGTTTTTACAGCTGCTAATAGTTATAAGTGCAAACTTTCAGTAAGTGGATTTGTATCAGTGGTATGCAAGTCCATCTGATTGAGGCTTTCAGAGATGATTTTTGATGTAGCAAGATATCAATTATTACTTGATATAGAGTAAGAAACATTGGTCTCTTTCAGTGTCTCAGCATGGGAAGAAGCTAAACAGCTATAACATTTCGGTTTGAACAAGATGAGTAAATTACAAGCAAAGATATTATGAGGGGTTGAAGTATATATGGAGAATGATTTATATGGGGTCAATATGGTGATTTTAAGCTTTTATAAAAATTGAAACATGTCGTTTTGATTTAAGAGAATGTGATGAAATTGGGGTAATAATGATTGCAGTATGGGGTATGTTCTTGTTAAATTTCAGACAATTTTTCCTTCATTTTGCGCAAAGCATTCTCATTACATATTTCTTAAAAGACTATTATCTAAATCCATTTGGAATGATTGTCAGAGTTTGAGGCTATAGCTTAACTATAGCTTAAGACAGTGGTGGCTAACCTTTTTCGGCTCCTGTGCCAAAAATTGTGTGCGTGCTTGTGCTCGCACTTGCGTGTCAGCACCCAAAAGGCAATATGCGCACCCCCTACATCCCCTGCGCATGCACGCACAATCCCCCTACGCCACCCCCTAACCTGCACTGTGCCTCCCAGCTGATTTTCGGCCTGTTTGAGGCCTTTTTTGGCCTCCCAGAAGCTTAATGAAAGCTTCTGCAGCCTTTGCAGGATGAAAAATAGGCCCATTTCGTCACTTCCAGTATTTCCGGAAATACAGGAAGTGACAAAATGGGCCTATTTTTCGGACTGCAAAGGCTGCAGAAGCTTTCCTCAAGCCTCTGGGAGGCCGAAAAAGGCCTCAAATGGGCTGAAAATCAGCTGGGAGGCATGCACATGCGCAGTGAGGTAAGTTTGCCTGTGGCTCGCATGCCGGCACAAATGGCTCTGCTTTCCACCAGTGGCACGCGTGCCATAGGTTCGCCATCATGGGTTTAAGAGATTAATTTATTGCCTTTGGCTATAAATAAACCAGGCAAGGTCAACTAATGCATTTTTCATTGTTGCATTCAGGGTAGGACTAAGAGGCAATGCATTGAAGCAATGATAAAACTAAATCTCTTTCAATGCCCAATTGTTCTCTATTCCCCAAAAGGATGGGTATCTATTACTGTGTTTCAGGATCTCTTGTTTATATTTATGAATGAATTTATAATCACATGATGGGAAAATTCTTGTAAATTCCTTTTCAATTATGTTTTGAAGTGGGTATTCCTAAAAAGAGAATTTGATATAAAATTAATTTATGTTGTGAAATTTGTGTTACTGCTGAATAGCTTGAATCTCTGAAGATGACCAATCACATAAGAATATAGTAAATTTGCCCTAGAAAATTAGAAGAAAACATTAAATTGATTCCTCAAGTAAGAGAAGAACATTATAAAAATCAATGGCTGGCTCACAAGGCTATAAATATTTAATTGCAACTTTGAGGGCTGCTGCTGCTTGACCTCTCATGATTACAAATGCATGTCAGTATTCAATGCTATGTCCTGCTCATTTTTCCTCCTATATTGTTCTGTTTGCATTTGTCCTAGCTCACTTCTTTGGAATTATTGGAACCAATGAGGTGTTGATTTAAGGCATAGGATTGGGAATAGGGAAACCCAAATTCTCATCAATTTTAAACCAGCCTCATAGGGCTACTTAGTCTCCATCAGCCCAACTTACCACAGGGAGGTCTAAGTGTAGCCCCTTGAGCTCCTGAACAAAAAATGGGATATACATATACGTGCTTTTTCTATGTTCTAAATGTCTTCTTTTACTGTGAAAAACTGGGTGAACAGAGACCAATTTAAGGCAAATTGTTCCCACTCCTGTGTATGGTTATAAAAGCAATAAAAATTATGGCTCTACATTGGAGTGAGAATGTTAAGATTAAATAATTCAAAACTACTGTTTTGATACAGTATGCTGTAGTTATAATTTTTACTGCATGTGTTCTAACTTGATATGTACATTCTCTGATGTATATAAATTTAAATAAATACTCCAGACAATTACTTCCCATGAGACTGCAAGTCAGAGATCTCCAATGGGATTATTGATCTCGGAGACAAGGGAATAGCCATTTTGCTCAAACTGCAGCTAGTGCATTGTACAATATAAAAACAGCTATGTTGATGCTTTAAAAACTTAAAATGAGAGGGAGAAGAATGTCTTTACTTGGTACTTAACTCGATCACAGCATGGATGTTTAATAAGCCTCCTGCTGAAAAATATTCAAGGAAGTGGCATGCCAAACAGGCTTTCTTCCCCTTATATTCAGCGTTTGATACAGCACCCACAAAATGGTTTCCTTTCATTGAATGTGTGTGTGTGAATAATGTAAATATATATGTAAATATGTTTAAATTTGATACCAAAAACCCTCAGCAAAAGGAGCTACATGTAATATAAAAATTGTTTAATGTTTACATTTAATAAACCATACTGTTATATATATTCTGTTATCAATTCTAAAAAATCTTTGAGTAACTATAAGCACAACATCTGCTTATGATTTTGGTTTATGTTCTTGATTTGATAGCCTCTAATTCTGTTATTTTGTATCTTCTTTAAAGTGATTCTAAAGTCAATAGAAACAAAGGAGAAAAGCAACTTTGTATCATTCCTTTCATTGTCACTGATAAAAACTGGGTTGTTTGTTTGGACTCATGTAAAATAAAATACCATTATTATTTAGAATTGTAAATATGAAGGGTCATTCAAAGTTATTCAAGGCGTTTTCTACCTCTAAGAAAATCATAGCTGATTACTAACCATTTAATGTTTTATATACATATTAACATTTTTGAAAGAAATAGATAGTAACTGATACATATTTGGTAGAATTAAAGCAATTTCAAATTTTTTAATGCAAATTTACTATTATTTCCAATTGCTACCTCTTTTTTGGTATAGTTTTTAATATGTCCTTGTCGTGACTGATTTGTGTGTAACAGTTAGTTTCCTTACCTATACAAATACAATATGTCAGTAAAAGGATTGCAGTCAAATAGAACCAAGCTGAATAGTTTTTTAAAAACCTGATATATAAGTACAGTATTAATTAAATCATGATACCAGTTATGATTGCATAATACATTTAACTATGCTTAATTGAATTATAGTTTATTATTTCAGTTTCTAGTTCACGCAGCACACTGAAATAGCAAACGACCATACCATCTGGGTTCACATAACATGTAAAGCAAAATGTGATTGTTTGGCTTACATGGTTAATGTGGCACACCAACACAGCATTAAATTAATATTTATCAGATCAAAAATGAATCTGGATCACAATAATATCTTCAAAATAATTATAATATGTATACTTTCTTGCTTGGAACAGACCTATTTATGTTATTTTCCTATGCATTTGAATTCGACATTAGAACTAATAAAATTGGTTAACACACG